TTTCAACTGAAATGTGTTCCCTGGAAAGAAAAGAGCAGGGAAGGAAACTGCTCTTAACTGTGGAATGGATTATAAAAGTACACCTCCCAAGACAAATCAGAAGCATTAAAGAGGTGGGTGGGATATGGTGGATGGGCTGAGAAGTGAATCCCTGAATAGAAGGGAGATTTGTTGGGCACTGGAATCCCACTTAAAAGGAACTCCCTTTTTGGTTAGACAAGCCTGTGGTTGTATATTCACAAGAATCAGATGGTGTTGGAAGAGAGTTTTCATGAGAAAAAAGTAAATTCTGGAAGAAATCTAGCATCAGTGAAGAATGAAAACACCATTATGGGACCTGCTATATGATGCAATAAGGAATCCAAACAGGCATTGATTTTTCAGTAAGGAGATTTACTTGCTTTACTGAATACTTCTTCATTTCCTACAGTTTAATTATTGGCACAAAAATCAAACAGGGCAATTATTCAGTTCTGCATTAATTTAAAACCACTGACTGATATTCTCATTCAAACAGCATTTGTCCCTTATTTTTTGTGTAATATCTAAATATATGCAATGTCCATTTAAAATTTATACTATCCAGGTTGAAATGACTATTTACTTCTCCCTGAATACCATAATGTCAACTGTATCAGCAGCATAGACATTTTTGTTTCTGTTTAAGCCTGTCCTATAATTAAATTCCATTATCATTGTTTCTTATATCTGCATTGTTGGCCTCTTGTTTTCAAGATTTTGGGGATATGTTGGTTATAACGTCTAGATTTGTTGTGCCATAAATAAATTATTTGTAATAGTTAGAACTGTATCCTCAGTTATGCTCAGTTACATCCTCTGATATGCTCTCAGCCAGCCCTGTGTCCATCAGTGTCTTCCTCTGAAGGGCACAATAGTTCTAGCAGTTAATTTCCCAGCAAGTAGCAATTCTGCATTGATTTTCCTTCCATCATGCTCCTTTTTACTGCTGCCAAATGACTCAGATGAAAAAGATATTAGATGAGAAAGGGATACTAAGGTAGTAGTCATTAGAGAAATATATCAGTGCCATATCATAATTCCTAGAATTTGTCTAAAAATCCAGACCCACATGATCTGCGTGGTAAGTGGCATCCACAGGAGTACTATTTTCACCTCTCCAAATAGCATCAAATGCATCTTTTGGACTGCATGGGGAATTTCTATATCAGCCATGGGTTAGGGTTAATTTATCATATTTACCCCATTCCCTGTAAAAGGTCAGTGTAATTTTTTATTTGGAACTTGGTTGAAATCTCCCTCTATCATGATATTTTCTGATCCTAATGAGTTTCGTATTTGTTTGCTTGTTTAAAGTATTTGTACAGCTACCCATTTTATAACCAAACACTGGATGACTCACAACTAAAGAATAAAACAGTACTGTATGTACAAATAATAAAAACAGAGAACAATAAAACCAAGAAGAGAAAAGCCTTGCGCCACAACTGAACTTCTACAATTAGATCCTCTCCTTGTAATTTCCCTTTTATAAACACAGGTCTACCCTCATTGTTCCTAATTGAATTAGTAGCCCTAAAACCATTCTCCTTGGGTAAAACGTATGGGATTTTTAACACCCTTTCTTGTGTTTTCTGTAGCAACAAAAACAAAAGGGCCTACACCCTTTATTTGATTTTTATTCCAATTTTAAAATATTAAAATCATTCCATGTTATGAAAGATAAGAATTTCCCTGTCACTCTTCAGCATCTCAACTTAAACTCTACTATGAATTTGTTTGATGAGGGTCAGTTGCCAGATAATAATTACTATGAGAAGTGAAGAATTGATAAATTACTTCCATGTTAATAAGTTAGACTGAAGCAACATCTTCAGTTAGTTAAAATCCCAAGTAAATTATTTAGCTGGTAGTAAGAGATTTTAAAATTTGAGGGGTTATTTGACCCAATCCTGGTTTTTGATGTTAATTTAAAGTAAGATATCAGTTCAGAGCTTTCATAAATTGTATCCTATTGAAGTTTGTATTTATTCATTTATGCTTCATGCTTTTTATGTTTATTTATATATGTTTATATACATTCATCATATAAATAAATAGATACTGTTAAAGAAAAACTCATGGTCTGGAAAATGTTTCTATTTTGAAATGCTTCAAACTCAAAATACCCCTTTTTAGTTCTGAAGGTGAACCATTTTGCCCAAATCTACAAATTCCATTTTATTAGGTTTACATTTCTTGTCAGAACATTTTTAGGCTTTCTTTTTTTACCTGTACCTCATAGGCTGAATTAAAAAGAAGTATTTGCAGACCTATAATACCTGAGATTTTAATAATTATCTAGAGGCTTAAGGTGATTGTTAATTAAATTTGGGGAAAAAATGAAGGTAGAGAGATGTCATTTCAGGTTTCACCAGAGAGAGTGAATATGTAGAATAATTATAGAAGCCTATGCTGGTCTTTGACCATAATAAAGATTTGATTTGATTTCTAATATATAGAAGCAGGCATGCTCAAAATATAGAAGTATTTCAGAAGCTTGTCACACATAATCTAAACCATATATGGCTGCTTCTCTCAATTTCAGAAAGCCCATTTTGTATTGTGTTAATTCTTTAATTAGGGCAATAGCATTCACCTAGAAAAACCTCTGGGTCCTGTATTTCATCTGCTGTATCTGAACTACCTGGCATCATGATAATTGTATGCTGCTTTCTTACAACTTAGTGGGCAAATTTTAGTGTCCAACATCTGAAACTACTTGTTGGAAGCTATTAGTTAATTCTGGGTAATTTGCCACCAGGCAAATAGCCTCCTGCTAATTGCCACTTATTTAGAAAATAATATTTATAGTTAGTGGATACACTGGCTGGTATAACTATCATGAGAAGATGACTGAGCTTCAGATGAGGTTACAGTGCTTCCATCTTTAAATTATTATTTTTTAAATTGCAGATAGTCAAGCTTTCATTAAGTCCTTACAGGATCTGAGCATCAGTAACTGAATGCAGAATCTCGGCTCTTAATTTTAAAATCTATGCTATTGCAGTATTGTAGCTACATATCATTGCAATTCTTAATGTGTAAGAATTTTGATCAATATAATATTGATGGCTTTCTAGGGTTATTCAATTAAAGTAAGTCTGTGTTGTTTTGATCCTAAGCAATGCAAGACACAGTTGCCTTTAGAACTGAAACTTTGAAGTGAAGCATTGTTCTAACAATCTCCACACACTTTGTGTCCCATCTTCTAATATAAGATACAAAACAGAATTTCAAGCTGATTGAGGTTTTACAAATTAATAGGATGTAACTTTGCAACTTGCTGATTTGATACATAAGTAAACAAGAGCTTTACCTGTAATGATCTGCAAATCAAAGACCCTGAAATTAGGCCCCAGGTGTAGAATAGAGTGGATCCCCCAATACACACAGAGATATGAGAGATGCTGTGGACTCTAGAGAGGAAAATCTGACATGTGTCCTGTACTCCTTTCCTTTTTTATGTCAGAGCTCCATTAACAGCAGAGACAATAGGAAGATGGATTGGGAAATATATCATGGATAGAATATAGTAGGCACTAGGCACAGAGAATACCTCTTAGATCTCTATCTTCCCCCAAAGGCTGAGATTTCCCTCCTATTATAGTAAGGAAGTGTTTTTTTCAATACCAAGCTGGAAGGGGAAGAAAAGACACAGATGTCTTTCCATCTTCACGTCCTCCCTGCTGTACTGTTACCGAGAAGAAGTTAGATATGTTAGAGTCTCCAGTATTGGAATGCTCTGAATAGGTGAATAGGATAGCGATAGAATACAATGCTATCACAAAATAACAAACAGGAAAATCAAGAAAAAATTCAATATGCTATCTGGTACAAATATACAGGTTGAAACTTAGCATGGGAATTGCGATAAGCACTTGCCACTTTGTTGGCCAACAAATATCGATTCTTGTTATTCACAGTAGTTATGTTCTATAAAGTTGCCATGAACACAACACAAATACTGAACTGTTGCTCCTAGGGGAAATATAGGACACTTTTTTACAATATGAGAGCTGAAACGAGAAGGCAGAGTATCGCCTTGTTCGACCTCAGCTGGGAATGTCCGGGTCAGGTGACTCAAATTTTTCACCACTCGTATTGATTTTGGGGTTACAAATATGTTTTTTATTTTATATTTCATAACTTTAGTTTCTTTCCTTTTTTCTTTTCTTGCACTTTATTTTTTTTCTTTTTTTTAGATTTGTCTTTTACTTTTTGTAAAATTCTCAATAAATATAATTTAAACAAATAAATTGTAACAAGTAGGTGAATTTGAAAACATGGAATTCGTCAATAATAAGGATTGAATGTATATGCTTCACGAATTGTACATAATTCAGGGGTACTTTGTTTTAACAGTCTAATTAGGGGAGAGGTTTCTGTTATTTACAAAGGTATTTTGAAGTGCAAAAGTATGCCATCATATAATTAGCACAATGATGTCATTACACAAATGACATGAATGTATATCATTTGTCTTATGACATCATTAAGCAAATAAAACCACTTTGCTTAGAAAATTGGTCCATTACCTCTTGAGTACGTTGCATCAAGGTCCGCTAAATCAAATACTGTTGCTCCTAGGGGAAATATATATTTCAGATAGATGCTTAGTATCTAATTCATTATCACTTTCTCATTTTTCTCATCATTCTCACTTAGAAATTCACTTCATGATACTGAGGAAACTAGTATTTAATCTATTTTGTATAGTGAATTACAATTATATCATGTGCTTAGTCTAAAGGTAAATTAATGCACAAGCAATTTAGCAAAGGCACAAGTTGTCCAGTTAACAATTTAATGTTGTAATAGAACATGTTTAGGAACAGAACAATTGTTATCCATCTGGAGTCTGTGAATGTATGAATCAGGTTAGAAGAGAGAACATGTCTATTTAACTGCAACTTCATATTTCTAAGACCTGCTCTGAACTGTTGTAGGCATACTATTTATTCAATGTTTTATCCCTACAGTGAAGATGTCTGCAAACGAGGTTTCACAGTCATCATTGATATGAGAGGGTCTAAGTGGGACCTGATCAAACCTCTCTTGAAGACTCTTCAGGAGGCCTTTCCTGCAGAAATTCATGTTGCCCTGATAATCAAACCTGATAACTTTTGGCAGAAGCAGAAGACAAATTTTGGAAGTTCAAAATTTATCTTTGAGGTAAGATGGAGAATCTTCAGTAATTAAGAACTATTATAAAAACTAGCACTGCGTGATAGAATGCAAAGATGGGGGAAAGAGGTGCCACCTAGGGAACAATCAGATAAAAGAGAAAGGAATCCACAACAGGGTAACAGTCAAAGAAAGAAACTTAGGAAAGACCCGCCCTATCTACTCAGGCAGTAAATAGGGAGGGCAGGAGATTTGTGCTTTCAGACTTGCAAGATTCTGTTAACGTAGCCTTACAATAAAGTAGAATTAGTTCATCTAGTCTTGTTTCCTGTCTGATTTACCTGGGAGGGCTGACCCACTGCCTTTTCTTTTAGATTAATAATTAAATATTGCTTTGACCAACATGTGTGTAATGGATAGAAGGAATGACCTTGAGGAACAGGAGGTTCCTTTTAACCATTACAATATGCTTGCATGTTGATGGCTTAACTGTTATGTAGACTGAACAAAATATATAGGCATAGATCTTTAATGGGAGTCGGTTGAAATTCAACCGGTACAATTTAGCAGATACAAGTCATTGAAAAGTCCACTGATACCTGCCAGTGTCAACATGAAAGAAAGATGCTGCCCCTAGGCAAAGAGGAAGGATTATCCACAGAATGTATGTTACTATGACAGCTGCTTCTGCAGAAAAATCTTCTCTCTTGAAGAACCCCAGTAATAGCCAGGTTTATACTCATATTTTCCCTTCAGGGCCTGTCAGTCACAAGCTGTTAGTAAGCAAAAAAAGAGCAGGGTTGACATGTGACTGACAAATGCAGATTTCTGGAGCTTCCTGTTAACACAGGAGATGATCCAACAAGCTCCTTGTCATTAAGTCAGGCTTTTACAAATTACTTTTCTTTCCTCCTGAAAAGACTGAATGAGTAGGCTGTTTTGATTGGTTGCATCTGAACTGGAAATAAATATGACAGCTGATAGGATGTTACCTTGTCCTTGCACATCTTTTCTTCCTTCCTGATGAAGTTTGATAATGTATTCCTATTCATCTTGAATTCTCCAGGGAGAATCTATCTGAATAATAAATGCATCTGCAGAATGCTTTAAACAAAGAGGCCTCCTTTCCTATCTTGGTGTTAAAAAGACCAGTTATGACAGGGGAAGAATACTTTTAAATAGATTTAAAAACCAAGTGAGAAATCTTCAGTCTGCATTGACATGTCCTATCCTAAATTTAATTAGAATCTAAATGTAAAGAATTACTGTTCAAATTAACAGACTCTGCTTATGGTGCATTTTTGAAATACTGTGCCATCTAAGCATGTAACTCGCTGCCTTGATATTTGAAAAAACAACGCAGGGAAACATCATCTTATGTAACTTTTAGCTGTTTTTATGGGTGGGGCATACATTTTTTGTATGCCGCCCAGAGTCCACTGAAGTTGGCAGCCAATAAATATAAATAAATAAATAAATAAATAAATAAATAAATAAACTGCTAATTTTTCCAATGTAGCAAAAAAGTATTTGTGTGGTGTTGTTTATGTCCCTAGTAGGATATGAAAAATATAAGAGTAGTGCTAGAATTTCAACCAGAAAAATGGTTGACATTTCACTCTTTAGAACTGAGGGATTGCACTACTTCAAGAAGCAACTTTGAAGAATCTTTGCTTAAGGCGTTGTTGAAGTGAAATATCCTCTCAAATCTTTGTACAGCCCTACTAAAATCATCAGTTATATACCACCTAAGCTAAAAGTATCAATAATAAGAATTTATGGTAAGGATACCCGGAGCAAAAGAAACTTGAAAGGTCTGGGAAGTAAAATGGTCTCAGTGAAGAGGGAAAAAAAAGATCTACTAGAGAAGATCTATCTCTACTAGAGAAGGTACTCAGCAGGTATTTCAAAGAAGGCTAATTAAAAAGGTGTTCCTACAAAAAAGAACCTGCTGTATGGAGAGCTATGGACAATGGAATGTGGGCAATGGAACAGAAACTCTACTCTAGAACGGAACAAGAAGATTCCAGTGGGAAAAGAGACACCCTAAGGCACAAATGCATTCTTTTGTGTTCCTCCAATCTGCGTTCTGGTGGTTGAGCTGAGTTTGTTGACCTTTTGCAGGCTGTATTTTTCAGGATTGGCCCAATTGACGTGTGAACAATTCACACAATGAACATGCTAATCACCCTCAGCAGCCACTCGTTAACAACTCAACAGAAAAAACCCCTGCCTAACCCCCAGGAAGATAAACACATACGCTGATCACCAAAACAAATAGCCACTTGTTAACCCACAACCCCCCTCCCTGCAGGCATCCCCACTGATCTCTATAAATACCCACCAGGGTCACATCATCCTGGGCACAGAGAGAACTGCTCCTGTCTGTGCTCCTGTCCTCTGAA